GTCCTGTCCATTAGTCACTCTACAGGATAAAAGCTCTGTGTTGGAAATTCATTGTACTTAAAAAATAAAGTGTTTTTTTTTTTTGTTTGTTTTTTACAAACGACAAGTTTGCGAGTCACTTGCAGTCCATTAAAAGAATAGTGCACCCAAAAATGAAAATTCAGACATTATCTACTCACCCATATGCCGAGGGAGGCTCAGGTGAAGTTTTAGAGTCCTCACATCCCTTGCGGAGATCCCAGGGGAGAGGAGGTAGCAACACAACTCCACCTAATGGAAGCTCTCGTGTGTGCGCTTGCGCAAGACCATGAGACATGGACACCGCCTTCATGTGTGTTCACGTGCTTTCGCTGGTCTCGTGCGCAAGCACGTACATATGAACACGGTGCACAGAGAGGCAGTTAGAGCTACAGGCTACAATGAGGCTAAAAACAGAGCTCAAATGCCGTTTTTCCAAACAACTTTTTATGTCGGGGCTTCAGGACACTTGGATCACTACGGACGAGCAGTATGGAGATATTTTGTGGTTTCTATTATGTGTTCTTGGACGTTTGAATCTGGGGCGCCGTCAGCCTCCACTAAGTGGAGTTGTGTTGCTACCCACTCCCCCCTGGGATCTCCGCAAGTGTTGTGAGGACTCTAAAACTTCACCTGAACCTCCCCTTGGCATATGGGTGAGTAGATAATGGCTGAATTTTCATTTTTGGGTGCACTATCCCTTTAAGAATGGACCAGCAACCCACTTTTGGACCAGGACCCATCACTGATCTAGAGGAAGCTCATCTGCATGTGCACTGTCCTAACCTGACAGCAGTTCATCATTGTAACTGGCTTGTGTGGTTTTGAGGCCGGTTGGATGTACCGCCAAGTTCAGCGAAATGAACATTAAGTTCAAAGGCAATGGCTTTGGTGAACATTCCTGCAGTCATCATGCCAGTTAAACACCTTCATAGCTTGTGACATCTGCAGCATTAGGGTTAGCATGTTGTTGATCAAACTGCACATTTTAGAGTGGCCTTTAACTGTGAGCATCTGTACACCTGTGTTGTAATCATGATATGTCACACCTGTCATGTGGGTGGATCATCTTGGAAAATAAGAAGTGCTCACAAGCAAGAATTAAGAATAATAAAATTGTGACCAAAATTTGTGAGAAATGTGTCTATTGAGTGCATGAAAAAACACATTAGAGCTTCAACTTAAACCTGTGAAAAAGGGGAGCAAAAACAAAAGTGTGTGTTGAATTTTTGTTCAGTACATAATGTTTTCAAGTGACAAAGCCCTGGTGGTTATCAGAATCTTGACTCTTATCTGTCAGGAGCAAAGAAGGAAGTTGGTGCAACAAAATGTGAGACACTGACACCAGTCTGCTTCCTGTTTTCTACTAACAAAAGTCAACTTTGCTCACATCAAGAAAAACTGCATCAAACTACCTAATAAATGTCACCAGCTGTCCCTATGTATGATCAGTGTGTTCCAAATAGTCACTGTTTCACCAAAATATGTCTGAATAGACAGTTTCCTTTCAAGCTCTTCCTCCCTTCCCTCCCTTTGTCGAGTGCCTGTCTGAAAATGTCTCTATTTCCACTATCTATCTATTTTTTATCTATATCTTGCTCTGGTTTCTCTCCGCTTCTCTTAAGTCAATCGCTTTCATCTTTTAATTCTCCTGTTCATTTCATTTTGTACAGGATATGCTGCTTTTGATTTGTGTTGATTACATTCAACATTTGAGTGTTGATTGGACGTGAGTAGGGACTGACAGAGGGGAAAAGGAAAATGGCGAGGGATGAGGCAGCTGTTGCCAAAGATGGACCCATTGATCTGAAGATTACTTAACACAGCACTGATTCTGGCTCCTACAGACAGACATTACTGGACAGGAGCGCTAATTGCCCATGGAAAAGTGCTCTCTCCACCTCTCCATGGATTTCTTCATTTAAATCCTGCCTCTTTACTGGGTTTTCACATTTTTTTTCTCCCCAGTCAACTGAAAGGTGGCGAGATCTTTTATACACTTGAGTAAGTTCAGGATGTATTGTGCCCTCGCGGTTATAACACATGCAAATACTGTGCAATTTACACAACTTTAAAAAAGCGCATTAAAAAAGTCAATGTTGAAATGAGCCCAAAGACCCTAAATGCTTGTATGCAAAATATTTGGACACAAAACAGATTCTTCTTCGGGCAAAATCATATAAAGAAAAGGGGCTGATAAATGCATATGATGAATCAAACTGGATTATAAAGCCATTAGTGAAGCACCAATGATTCATCAATTAGACAAGCATCATAAATTAAAACACTGGCAGAAAAATCAAAATATGGTGTTTCTGTGATTAATACTGGAATATTAGAATGCACTGCTTATGTTCAGCATTTGACAACTGTAAGTGTGTATGAATACTTTGTTGTTGTCAGTCAACAGATAAAAAACTGGACAGGCTAACTGAATAGGTATTGAGTTAGATGCTTGAAAGTTATGTCAGGAATAAGAGGTCGTACTGGTGATTTTGTTGTCTTGTGTTGTGCTTAAAGAACAGCAACAGTGCTGTCAGAGCTAATGATGTTAACCAGGGAGTAACCAGGCCATGGCACTATGCTTCTGCGAAGACGCTGTTCCGATAGGAGCAGCAACTGCTGTTTGAGCGTGGTGAGCTAGCCAGTAGGATACACACAGAGATGGGCAAAAATACATCAAAATGTATTTTGATGCAAAATACAAAATACCCCTCAAACAAAATAAAATACATGTATTTTGTATTTTCAAATACAGAAAATACTTTTTTTCTTTTTGTTTTTAGCAGCGACCCGCAGCTCTATAGGTCACTCTCAGTCAGTCCACAAAGCTTTTTGTGAATAACTCAAAAAGTCCTTTACCAAAAATGCTTAAAATGTGCACACTGCAACTAGAGACCATGAGTAACTATACCAGAAAGAATGCCCACGATTTGTCCATAGGTGGCGCTATACTAACCGATTCAAATCTTTTTGTGAATAACTCAAAAAGTTCTTGACCAAAAATGCTCAAAATTTGCATACTGCAACTAGAGACCACGAGTAACTATGCCAGAAAGAACAGCCATGATTCATCCATTAATGGCGTGATATTAGCATATTTGGTCGCAGAAAATTTGTGCTCGTCTTCTCACAATTTGGTGTAGCAGAGTATTCAGGTGTGGGCTATAGGATAAACACAAAGCTCTGGTGAACCCCACAAAAAGGCAGAACAGTCACAGAACTAACTAAGTGTAAGTAACTAACTAAGAAAGTATTTTGAGTATTTTAAATTCAAAATTACTCAACTCAAAAGTATTTTGTTACAACTTTTATTTGCTTTTTATCGGCCTTATCAAATACAAATTACAAAATACTCAAATGTAATTGAAATACGTATTTAAAACACAAGTAATAGAAATACTGCCCATCCCTGGATACACACATGCACTAACATGCATGAGTGGCCGTGCCAGCTTCCAACAACAAACCACAGATAAACTCAGATTACAGCACGTAGAGATGTAACATGAATCCATCTCTGCTCTGCACGCCATCACTCCACTTTATCTGTACATAGCAAACTGTGGTTTGCTGCTTAATAATGTTGCATTCAAGATGTTGCAAACAGATTTGTTTTTACTGCTGTCATTAAGAATTTTCATAATCTGAAAGGTAAAATGGTAAATGAACTGCAATTGTATCACACTTTTCTAGTCTTCAGACCACTAAAGTGCTTTTACACTACATGTCTCATTCGCTCATTCACACACACTCACACAGTGGTGGCCGATGCTACCATGCAAGGTGCCACCTGCTACTCAGTAACCATTCACTTGCACTCATATGGAACAGCCATCAGGAGCAATTTGGGGTTCAGTATCTTGCCCAAGGATACTTGGACATGCAGGCTGGAGGAGTTGGGGACTGAACCACCGATCTTCAATCTGAACTATTACTGAAGGATGATTCTGTACCTGCTTTTTCCAGATGTTGGATTTTACAATTAATTTCCTCTGCTGTAATGATCAGAGATTGATTTAAGTGATTAATATTTTCTTGATTGACTAAACATTTGGTCTATAAAAACGCTATAAAAATGTTAAATTCCAAAAGCCTCAGTTAATGTCTTCAAACAGTTTTTGTTCAATTGATCCGATTAACAGTCCAAAAGCCAGAGTTATTAAGTTTATTATATATTAAATTATATTATTAGAAACCAGCAAACATTCACACTTGACAAGTTGAAACCTGAGACTCTTTGACAGTTTTTTAAATTACTTACATGATTAATTGATTATCAAACTGGTGGACTAATTGTTTCACCTTCACGCAGATCTTAATATTGGTGCGTTCGTTTTGTACTCAGAGGTCGGAAATTCCCAGTCCGAAGTTTAAACTTGAACGCACCCTGAGATCGGATTTCCAACTCAGAAACTCAGAGCAACCGCATCAACTTCGACTTACGAAGTCAAGATGGCTGCCAGTCACATACATAGTGAGGAAACACTCTGCTAAAGTACTGTTTATAGCAGTTTTATCTTATTTGTTTTACATTAGGTCAGCCTCATCTGCGGCGTTCATCAGTTGGAGTTCATGATGGTTTTGAAGCTGTCTATACTCCGAAAGTGCAAGGGCAACAAAGGCTTTCTTGCGGGCGTCCATGTTTTTTTTGTCCACCGTTGTCAACTAGAATGCAAAAACTGTTGTCAACTCGGGGGTGACGTCATTCCCACTTCCAACCTCTGAGTACAAAACGAACACAGCATATATAAATACTGTACAATGGAGAGTGGGGAAGACATTATTTGCATATAACTGAGACATATGGGTATGTTTGTGCCAAAGTGAGTCTGTGATGGCTCTGGTGCGTTTGTATATACAGTGTAGATGCAGGATAACTTCATTATCACAGTTAACATGTTATTTACACTCGTCTGTGTTTCTGCCTTATGTCTGTGTTCTGTATTTGTGCGCTATGGAAAAGACAGAAGATGACTCACCTCAGCTCTTTGAATGGCTCGGCTCTGACGTGTGGCGTCTCCACTGATTTGCTGAACACGGCCCCTTCGGCCCCTGAAATCACAGAACACAACATCAGACAGGAGGCCGCCGTCAATTGAAACCACAAACTCCTCCCGTCCGATCAATGGACATAATCTCTGAGACTCCGCCGATCTATATGGCTCCAGTCAGCACGCACAGCGGGCATCACCTCGCCTCGCCCCACTGATAACATGGACTCACACGCATTTGATAGGGAAGCACACTGATGGAATATAACGAGGGTATTTTTAGACTAAAAACCTAATTTCATCAGGAAGGAAAGAGAAGAATAGATTTAAAGCTGCTGCTTTGGCAGCTCGGAGCAACGCTGACAATTCAGGAAAAAAACATGAACTCAAAAATATGCTCTGTTTACTATGATAGGCTGGTCTTTTGCTGTTCAGCAGACTGGATTTCAATCTTTCATTTTTATTCATGACCTCCTGTGGGCAGTGAGGCGACTTTCAATAAGGGTTCACAATACAAAGCAACAGGATGGTGCTCTGTGAGAGGGTATAGTATGTGTATTCTTAAACTAACACTTGGTCCAGTGGGCCTATTCTTTATCTTATTTTTTACTTATTAATGTGTCTTGTGAATCTCATATACAACAATGGAGTCCTTCCGCCCCAGGATAAGCTAACTTTTTATGCTAACTACAAAGTCCAGTCAAGGTCAAGTTTATTTACACTGCTCTGAATTACACACCTCACTTAGAAGGCTTCATAGTATTTACAGCACACAACATAGATGGACAGAGATGCAATATGTGTTGCACGTACAAAACAGACACAAGTAGCAGTGGTGGAGCTACAATGTACAGAGAGAGAACCCAAGAATTACCAAGCAGCCATGATACACAAAACTCTGAATACAGAAAAACATTATTGTAGTTTACAATAAACACACACAAAGCTATAGCAGAATGCACCAAAAAGGACTTAAAGTTCACGTTAAATGGAGGTTAGAGCGTCTTAAGCTTCTGTACTGTCTGTGTAGAAATCTCCTCTGAGCCCCTCTTGGTGTTTGACTTCAGGCCTGGCCACCCACTTTGAAGTCATGTTGATGTAGCGATGTGAAATATGATCCAGAGTTTTCACTGGTTTAGGTTTATTTTGAAAATTGACCGGATACTCTCGTCTTTTCTGCCCCTGACTTCCTGTTTCACTCATTTGGTCTGTGTAAACTGACGCGCCGTTCCGCCGTCACCGAGTCCTTTTTTTTTTTTTGTTTGTTTTAAACGTCCAGCCCATTGTGTGGCTTGACCGGACTGCATACTGTTCTCAGAGAGCAAGTTTAGGTCTCGTGGGGCTACCCTGAACTTCATGCTACTTCGTCCTTCCCTAGTCTCCTACACTGGTTGCCTATTGGCTTACAAAGTAAATAGTAGGGCTGACCCAAAAAATTCGAAGCTTCGTTCAATGGCACGGGATTCGATTGTGAAAAAAAAAATCGAATATTAGGTCTTTTTTTTTCCTCCCGTTTTTTTGGGGGACCTTGAATGCAACACTAACCCCATTAGGCAGAGTAAAGAAGTCATCTGGTCTGATTAAAAAAGTTTCACAGTAAATCAGAGAACAGGGATATTATTATTGACACGGGTTATTTGAAATGGACAAAGGTATTCTTTACTGGTGAGTTAAGGGAAAATAGCTATCATGTAATTAAAAAAGAAAACATCTCTGACAAGGAAATAGAAAGCCCAACGTGCAATGAATGGAGACCTATTATCCATCCTTGAACACAGACGACTAAATTCTTTCAACAATGTGACTCAAAATAATGAAAAAATAGATTTTACTGATGTAAAATAATATGTTGATGGTGACATTTTCCACCGGTCTGCTGCGCTCTGAGTCTGGTGTCAGTGACACATGCTGCTCTGAGTCGCGCATCTGTCTGCTTGCGCTGCAGTGCGCGCCGAGGGTTTTTTTTAGTGTTAAATCAAAAGTTAAACACTACTTATCAGCAACCAGAAGTGTATTTTTGTTTGTGAATATTTTTATCTTAATTCTAGGGTTGCAAGAAACTACCTTTTCGCCATAATTTTTAAGTTATTAACTTTTTTGGACTTTTTTTTTTTGCCGGTCGTCAAAGGCTTCGGTTTTGCATTTCTGGTCGGAATTCTACCAAGGTAAGCAAATTGCTGAAAAATTTACATTTAACTGTGTTATAAAACCATGTGCCCTGCCTGAATAACTAAAACACACTTATGATGAAAAAAACTTTTTGTTAGATGAGTTTGCTGAATTTCTTCACGAAAAAAAAACGAGGCAAGAAGGAGAGAGTAGTTCTAATAGGCGTCCTACTACACAAGAACATGATGAGGTAGGCTAATGTAATGCACTTGTCTATTATCTATTATCTATTTCTGTATGAAACTGCATAAAAATAGGATTTCGCCACGTGAATTTTCAAAATTTTCTTGGGGGAGAACCAATCTGAAATCTTTCTGTTTGTCACAACAGGACATACTACTGGATTTTTTAAGCAGATGATCGGGTCCATGTCATTGGTTCGACATCCCATTAGTCCAACGGTCCGCGGTGCTGAACGGCTCCCGGCGGGCATATTTCTGCCTTGATGGTGCGCCGCGACAGGCTCTGGGTCAGCTGGGAAAGGCTTGAGGCAAAGCAGGCTCACGGCTTATGTGTTTGTCACTTTCTTTTTCATTTTAACCCACACCATGATCTTTTCCTAACCCTAACCAAGTGGTTTTTGTGCCTAAACCTAACCAGACCTTAACCACAGGGCATCATGATGATTTCGGAACAACGGGACTTCGGAACAATGGGTTTAATATGGGATGTCGGACCAATAGGCAGTTCCCCAGATGATCAATACTACCATCCGATTGATTAACTCGACCTTGATCTGCACCGTTAAACAAATATTGAGCATTTATGGACGTATGTGGGGCTTAGGCCTATGGATATGAATATGTAAACGTACACTAATTTCTTCTGTTTGCCACATGTGCATATTAACTCTTTTAGGGTAAAAAAAAAACGTGCTGCCGTGTCCACGTATGTTCATGACCACGCACGCACAAGCACATATTACGTCACAAGGTAAAATCTCACTCTGGCCCTGGTGGACAGGCTAAGAGTTTAGTGTGATACAGAGCAACAGAGGAGTCAGCTGCTGAACGGACTATTGGTGGCACACACGCCTCCTTCGCCATTAGATCAAGAGTAGGATGAGGGAGAGATGAATGAATTAGACCGTCACCTCAATGGTTTGGAAATGAAAACAAAGGTTTTGCCCACTGATATCCAAACGCACATCTCTTTCTGCCTCTCTCCATATTGCCCTGTTAGCTAGTAGCTAGCACAACCCACAAATGGTGAAGTGCAGTTATATGACCAGTGTGGCTAGCTAGTCATGGAAAGTCTCATTTGATTGATTTAACTTTTGTAAATGTCATCAAACATTTGAAACTGTAATACCTCGTTATATAGAAAGAGAAAAGACATGACTTGTGGTGTATAAATACCTTCATCATGATGTTTGACATATTTGGCATATAACAAGAGATAATCAGTTAACACAGGGATGCTATTCAAACTTGGAAAATGTATTTTTCATTTTATAAGGACTTCACAGTTCATCAGGAGCATCACACACTGGCAGCATCTCAGTGAACATTTATGCATCCAGATACAACACTGTCCTATCAATGCTGAAGAAAAACAGCAATCAGAATTCCTTCTTCAATTCTCAGATCTCTGCTTCTGTATCCTGACAACTTCCTCTGTTTATACAGCTCAGCCAGTGACATGAGTCAAATGACACGCTGCACTGTGACATGCTGCAACATCATGCAGTTGGTGTGTGTTGCACTTTAAACATGAACACATTTGCAGCAAGAAATAGTCTAAAATTCAGCAAACTGTTGGTGTGTATGAAGTGAAGACTCTGGTCTGGTGTGCTAAATATTTGCTGCTACATATTGCCATGCATCCTGGCATGTTAAGACGCTTATGTGAGCATTGATCTCTGACGAAAAGAGGGTGCAACTTACAAGCTACAAACGTCCAAACGGCAGAAAGAGATGGTCTCAAAATAAATATTTCAAATCCTCAGCTCATAAATAAGCTGAAGTATGACGTACATTCCATTGCTTGTTTGTGATGATGTAAAAAAAAAAAAAAAATAAAAAATCAACAACAAACCCCTAATACTCTGCTGGCCCTCACCCCGAGGCTCTGATTGACTGTAGTGCAAATACAGCAGCTCAGCTTGAGTAAACCGAGGCATTCAGGTACATCAAATCAACAAAGCATCAGGTGCAGATCAATGGCCATGACTAAATGTGTTTCAAAGCGTTCTTGGCACTGCTGGGAATCTAAACACCTCTCACTCTGAGACACACTTCTCAGTTTTCACTTGTAAGTTAGATGGAAAAGAGGAAGTTTAAACCTCGTCAAATGCGATATTTGTTGGCATTTAGCCCCATGATGAAGTGTGTGTGTGTGTGTGTGTGCAGGTGAGAACCCAGTGTCAACACATCAAAGCTCTGACGTTCTGCGATATGGGACTGTCAAACCGCCCCACGTACAGCAGAGGAACAAATAGATATTCCAGTGACAGTGGAGTTTGATTGTTGAGCCTTCCATGTTGTTCGGGAAAATTCAGCGAGCGAAAATCCATATTTGATGACTGAATACTGCAGTAATAGAGTTTTAAATGGATGTGAAGCGTTAATATCTCTATATATTCCAGGTTCAAGCTTGTTAACGTGTTTAATGAAGTTCAAATTGCCTGCCACCCTGAGAACAACTTAATAATGTTTAGTTAGGATATTTATTTTTCAGCTGGTTAGGGTTTCATTTGACACACTGCAGTATTCTTTTGTGTTATTTTGAAAACACTCCTGACACTAAGGTGCAAGAAGACTGAAAATAAATAAATAAATAGAAATAAAAAAGTTCTGCATAATGCTCTAAACATTTAAAGATACTTCACTGCGTCAAAAGTGTGATAGGCAATGTCACAGTGATGTCAAAGTACACATGGGATATGCACGT